GAGCAAAGATAAAATATAAGACTGTGTGTAGGTTTTCATTTATTTATTTTTTATTTTAATTTAATTTAATTTTTATTTTTTTTGAGGCAGGGTCTCACTATGCAGTTCAGGCTAGACTTGAGCTCACTTTGTAGTCCAGGTTGTAGGTTTTCATTGATATATGACTCTAGAAAAGGAGAAATTATGACAGAATCCAGATCAGTCTCTGCCTGGGTTAGAGTGTGGGGAAGAGATGGACTGTCAATGTGCGAGAAGAAAAGTGTCAGGCTGCAGGAATTAGTCCATATTCTGAATGGGTGATTGTAACATAACTGTAATGAAATGCATCAACCTGCACCCTTAAAAGGTGTGAATTTTATTGTGTGTAATAATCAAATATAAATTTTAGTTAAAAATCCCTCTTCATTGTTTGTAGGGAGGCTGAGGCAGGGGGGTTGCCAGTGTAAGGCCCCTCCTCCCCCTGCAACACGGTGAGACTCTGTCTCAAAAAAACCGAAAACACAACTCACATCTATATATATTATGGGAAAACTTAACTTCACAACTAAACATACCATGGGAAAACTTCTGGCAAACCAATGATATAAATGAAATCTTGAAGGCAGGTAGAAATATTAGAAGAACAAAGGTAAGAATTACAGAAGACTTCACTCAGAAACTATGGAGGTCAGAAGGCAATGGATTACATCCTCAAAGTACTGAGTTCTTTTTTTCTGTTTAATAAATATTGGGAGTGAATTTATTGGAGGTGGTAGCAGGGGACCTGCAGAGAAGCTAAGAATACAGTTTTGTGTTTGTTGATAAGATACTGGTCGATATTGGCTGTGTCTATACCTTTCCCCCTTCAAAGATGGTAAGTTCCTTCAACAGACAGTGCAATAAAAACTTTAAAATTAAAGACGAGAGCATCTGTTGCCTGCTGAATTGTGCAGAAAGAAGTACTAGAGGAAGCTGGGTGTGGTGGCGCTTGCCTCTAGTTCCAGCACTTGGGAGGCTGAGGCAGGAGAATCACTGAGTTTGAGGCCAGCATGGGCCACAATGTGAGTTCAAAGCCAGCCTGAACTACATAGGGAGACTCAAAGACAAAAAAAGATATAAAAGTATTAAAGGAAGTTCTTCAGATAGGCGTCTGATACCACAAGGACATTTAGTTCTACATCAAGAATGGAGAGGACTAAAACTGGTAAAAGTGAATTCAAGTTAAAATATCGTAGAGACGTTCATCAGAAGAAATGAAAGCAGACCATCAAGCCCGCACAGTGCCGGAGGGTTCCAGCAACAGCCTGTGCGGCAGGGACAGAATCGCAGACACCTGCGGCAGGGACGGGGCCTTGTCCTGGTGACTCCGTTTGTTTTCACTGTCCTGGGGGTAGGGAGCCAACCCGGCTCCTTACTGTCCCTGCTGGACAGGAAGAGAAATGAGTCTGGGGGCAAAAGCTACCTGCCAAGCAGCCGGGCTAACGCAGCACCAGACAGGAGAGGACACTGCCGTTCTGTGTCTCTGGGAGACCCCAGCGCAGCCCCCGCCCCATGAGCCGGGCCTAACGAGGACCCTGACGCGGCGCCCTGGGCGCAAACAAGGTCAGCTCCGCGGTCTCAGCCGCCCCTGCAATGGGCCGCCTCTCCCCTCCCGCGACTGCGCCGCGCGCGTCCGTTGCTATGGCTGCGCAGCCTTGGCGACCGGGCGCCGCCACCGCGCAGGCGCCGTGCGGGCCGCGGTGCATCGTGG